TGAGTCTCAAGCAACACAAGAGCACATAACAACAACCAGCAGTTAGGAGATAGAAGATGTATGACACTGGGAAAGTCTGCAGTCAGAGACTTCCAAGTTACTAAGAGCAGTGATGTTAGTTTGAAGTACATCTGATTCAGACTATGATCTTAAAAAAAAACAAAAAAAACCCAATATTTATAGAAGTTGTATTTATAGTTGCCAAAAAAAATTACAAACAACTAAAGTATATCAGTCAACAAACTTTGGCACATCCATGTGATGGATTAAACAAAATATAAATACGCTTGAAAGCTATGAAAAAATTAGGAACCTTAAAAACATGTTAAGTAACAAGAGACAGTCTTAAAAAGAGTCACAAAAGATTGTCTTTTTTTTTATTAAATTTTATTAGTTTTAATGAACATTTACAGAGATTTTGGGTTTTCATTCATTCATTGTTGCACTGTTTTCTCCACCCTCATCCCCAGTTCATTCTTCTTTCCCCCCATGTCTGTTTTAATTGTCCAATTGCCACAGTGCTTGTCAAAACCAGTTCTGATTAATCTCCTTTGTCAGTGTGTCCCTTGCCATTCTCTATCACTCCTCCCTGAGAGAGACTTTACCCTGATTCATAAGGAAAAGGGGATGGCATATTCTCTTAGCTACTTCCTGCTGAAAAGGGACGCTGTGGGTTTCAGGGTGAATGTCTTCTCTCACTACTCCAAAGAGCCCCCTTGGCAGTAGGAAACACATAGACTATTATGGAGATTGATTTTGGAATTTAGATGCACTGTTATCAATTGTGCTTAGCCGTACATGTTCATATCCTTGAAGATGTATCATGGAAGTGTTGCAGCCTAGAAGATACAAATTTAACTAACAAGTTAAAAGTGCATGAGTCAAAAATTGAAAAGCAATAATATTCTGAGTAGAGGTTCTAATAGTCGCACAAATCAAGTTACAGAGGTAAGGTAGTTCCATTGCCATCCTTACTTTAACTTAATTCTTTTTTTTAAATTTAAATTTGTTATTAATTTCAGTGAAAATTTACAGAGGCTTTGGATTTCCATTCATTCATTGTTGTAGATTTGTCCCCTCCCAAGGCTCCCCCCCACCAGACATTACCCTCTTGGACAAATAAAAGAAAAGATTCTTTCATTATTTTACAAACCCTCCCCCAGGTCCACTCCACCATGTAGCCATCGCTCTAGACTCCTGTCATGACCGAAATACCTAATCACATATCTCTTTTAGACAATTTTCTCCCTTCTCTGTTTCAGAGCAGCATACATTATTGAACCCATCTTACAAAAGATTGTCTTAAAAAGCTATACACTCTATTACTCTGAGTGTATGACCTCCTGGAAATAGTAAAACTACTTTACTCTCTTTGTCCCTGGAGTTCAGTTGGCCCTCTAGTAGGTGTCTGGAAGCTGTAAATTACACTGAAGGAGATTGCCTCATCTTTCTTTCTTGGAATCATTCATGGATTCAAATCACCACAGAGATCTTTAATTGATGTCTTTAAATTGTGGTGTTGGGGGAAAGTACTGAATATCCCATGGACTGCCAAAAGGACAAACAGATATGTCCTGAAGGTGAAGTCAGATTGCTCCTTCAAAGGAAGGATGGCAAATTACTAGGAGAGGCTAGTCCTTGGAGAAGGACATTATGCTTGAAAAGGTGGAGGGATGGCGAAGGAGAGGAAGACCCTCAACCAGGTGGATTGACACAGTGACTGCAGCAATAGGCTCAGGTGTGTCAGGAATTGTGAAGCTGCGACAGGCTGAGATAGGGTTCAGATCTATTGTGTATAGGGTCAACAGCACTAATATAATAATAAGTACTTCAAGTTTTCATTTTCTGCAAACAAGGTTCTGTCATCTGCATAATGGAAGTTGTTGGTAAGTCTCCCTCATTTCTGTGTCTTACTTTTCATATAGTTCATCTTCTTGAAATACCAGCTCTACATACAACATTTGCAGTCTAAAACTGATCAAACAAGTAGTCAAGATGCATTAATAGTAATTGGTGAATGGGTACATTGAAGGACACAGGCTCTGGAATTTGTGGTTTTGGCTAGATTGATATCATGGCAGGTCTGGAAAGTGATACTCTATTCCAGTTCTCTGATAGTAAAAAAGTATTTCAAGTGTTACATGCCTACAGGTAGAATGAATTGTGAACTGGCCACATAGGGGGAAATGCTTTGCTTGGCCTATACTTCAAGTTAAAGTCTTAAAAAACTCCAGCTGTGAAAGCAACATAAATGGGATTCTGAACTGTCTGATCCTCAACTGCTTATTTGTCAGACCTGGAGAAGCTAATGTCACCTCATCATGGGATGCTTGATTTGTACACTATATCGTGAGCCTGAAAAAAAAAAGAATCATTTGTGAATGGACTTAAAAAGATGGAAATGAAAAAAACCAGCTGGTAGTTGGAAAATGTGGCCTTAAAAAAGAAATGAGGCTAGAGATTTCATGATAGAATGTTGTACAGTCAATGACACTGCATAAATGGCACTTACACACTTGGATATTACCTGATGGACTAAGATTACTACATCTATGGGAAGAGTCCAACTGTGGAGAAGCTAAGTATCAGCAGTAATTGATGAACAGACAGACCATCAATGTTGAAGCTAAAGACAATTAAGACAAGTCCATGCGAATTAAATACAACCTTGAGTCTGTTCCACCTGAATTTTAAAACCATCCCAAGGGGGGGGAAGAAACAAACTATCTCAAGAATAGATTTGGTGATTTGAACTCTAATGACTGAAGACCACATGAGTTGTAGCATGACATCAAAGAAATAATCCACAAAGAAAGTAAAAGATTATTGCAAAGACTAAAATGGACATCAGAAGAGACTCTGAAACTTGGACTAGAATGGAGAGAGACCAAAACAGAGACAAAATGCTTACGTGAAAGAGATGAACAGAAGATTTCCAAGGGCTGCTCAAGGAGACAAAGCAAAGTTATATATAAAATGTGAAGAGCTAGAAAGAGAACCAAAAGGAAGGAACATGTTTGGCATTTCCCCAGCTTATAGAGATGAAGAATAAATTCAAGCCTTGAGTTGTAATACTGAAGGATTCTGTGGTTAAAATCTTGAATGATGTGAGAAGCATCAAAAGAAGATGGAAGGAATATACAGTGTCACCATACCAAAAAATTTGTTGACACTGAGCCATTTCATGAAATAGCAATGATTAAGAACCAGTGGTAATGAAGGAAGAAATTTAATCTTTACTGAAGATGGAAAAAATAAAGCCCCAGGAATTGATGGAATACTAGCTGAGGTGTTTCAACAAACAGATGCAACCCTGAATGTGCTCACTAGCCTATGCCAAGCAATTTGGAAGACAGCTACCTGGTAAACTGACTGGAAGAGATATTTGTTCTACTCCCAAAAAAGGCAACCCAGCAGAATGTGGAAATTATAGAACAATATCCTTAATAACAAATAAAGTAAAATCTTTCTAAAGATTATTTTAAAACGGTACGTAGGCAGGGAACTCTCAAAATTCAAGCTAAAATCAGTAGTTATGGAACAAAGGATATCATTGCTGATGTCAGATGGATCATGACTGAAAATAGAAAATACCAGAAAGATACTGGTGTTTTAGCAAAGGCTAAGGCTTATGACTTAGTAAAGGTATTTAACAGTGTGAATCATAGGAGATTGTGGATAGCATGGAGAAGAATGAGAATCCTAGAACACTTAATTGTGCTGATGTGAAACCAATACATAGACAAAGAAGCACTTGTCTGAATAGAACAAGGCAACACTGTAAGGTTTAAAATCAGGAAATGTGTGTGTCACCTTCCCCTGTGTTGTATTCTTTCCGTGTGCATGTATTCAAGGCAGACACAAACAGTCCGTGACACCATCCCAGTAAGACACAGTCTGGAACAGAACTAGATGGCTTCCAAGGTAGTCCTGCCTCTACCTGGGAAAGCCTAGTATGCTGTGAGAGGTCTTCTGTAAACAGCTAATGGGGCTTATATGAAGAAGTTGAGGCTTCATCAAGGCTCAAAGGGTTTCCTGTCCCCAGGGGTTTTGCTGTTAGGTGGTGTAGGTCAGTTCTGGCTCATAATGACCCCAGGTACGACAGAAGGGACTGCCTGGTTATCCTCAAAGTGGTGGTTGTGTTTATGCCCATTTGTGCAGCCAGTACAGTTCTTGAATCTCCGTGTCAGCTCTGCCTCAGTTTTTCTTGAAGTTTCCCAAGGGTAAGAGTTATTAGCCTTTCTATGAGGGATTGCAGCTGAATTGGCCAGCATTGCTATACCCCAGGATAGACTCAGTAAGGAAATAACCAGCTATGTGCTTTGGAAAATTGAAGAGGTGAGGGAAATAGAACTGAGGCACTCTTCTTTGAGTCCTAATACTGCTGGGTCCTTTTTACACTAGGACAGCCATTGGTAGGACAGTTTCTTTTATTTGATAAATGATTTTTAAAGGCTCCTCAGGAGCTCTAGTGGTTAAAGAATTCAGCTTCAGTTCAAACCCTCCATCCATCCCAAAGGAGAAAAATTAGGTGATCTGCATCCATAAAGCTGTACAGCCTCGGAAACCCTAAAGTGTATTTACATTCTGAGAGCAGAATTAGGTCAATTGCAGTGAGTTTTAGATTTGGTTTAATAGCCCCCTCATTATGCAGATTCCCAGTTTCACCAAGTGGGATAGGAACATAGGGTGAGAATCTCATGTGCCCACATTATAACTGTCCCTCATGTATGTGTTTCAGCTCTCTGGAGCCTATAACTCCAGACAGTGAGAAAGGCCTGCACTTTAGGGGCAACCCCACAGGAAACACCCTATATGCTGATTTATAGTTAATGTCCTTGATTTTATTTCTTTTGATGGTTTGATGGTTTCAAAGTGGACTTCTAGGCTGGCATCTTGAATCCCCAAGGTAGTGAGTTCATAACAGCAGTGAAAGGAAAATTTATCATCAGTTGGTCCTCAGCCAGAGCTCTTATGGACGTAATGGTGATTGTCCCCAGGTGGCTGTCTGTATGCAGGGCCAGAAGGTGCTCTTGGAAAAAACTGGAGCTCAGCTTGGTGAACAGGATCTGCCGGACTTTCTGGAGGAATCATCTGAGGTAGAACTTGAGGACCAACTGAGCCACCAGTATGAGGACAAAATCCAGCTCTCACAGGAACCAGCCCTCAAGTTGGCTGGGCCAGGTAACTACTCTGTACCACTTCTTTCATTCTCATCAACTTTTATCACCATCAAAGTATCTCATGACCCTCAAAAGACAGAGAGAGAGAGAGAGTGTGTGTGGGGGGGTTATGCAATGATAGATCTTCATTAAAAAAAACCCTCACTTATTAAGATAGTGGTAATAATACAAATCAGAAATGCATGTTTATCATTTTTTTATTAATGAGTATTTGACAATCACATGCCCAGTAGGGTTATCCTAGTGCCTACTCTCTCAATTTTTTGGAGTTTCTTGTAGTGAAGACAGACCCAAATATGACCACTCTAGCTTCCAGTGAACTCAATTCATGACTCAGAATGACCTCATGATTATAAAGACCTAAAACATTATTTCTCTTAGAGAAAAAGCCTCCAAAAGAAACTCCCTAGTTATCACTCTCCATTGTCTGCTCAAAGGGTCTATCTACTGCCCGAGAGTGGATTCTGAGCAGCACGACAGGGTAGAGTTTCTAGTTCCCAGAAGCCATCTTGGTCTCCCGCAGTGCAAGTGTTGGACTCAAACTACCAAACTCTTCAGTTATCAAAGAAAAAGCTTAATCCACCACTACACCACCAGGGCTCCTATCCACAAACCATATGGCAACCCATGATCTCTTTTCCAATAGAAATGCCCAGATATACCCATTCTGGACTTTTCATATAAATGGATCATACAGTATGCAACCTTTCTGATTTCCATATTTAATGTACCATATTAAAGACTCATTTTTGTTGTTATCTGAATTTGTATTCCCTTCTATTTTTCTGTTGTGTCATATAAATATTATGACACTTTTTGTTTATCATTCATCAGTTGTTAAACACTCCACGTGTTTCCCATGGTTATTAATGCAACTGTGAACACTTGTGTATGGGTTGTGTGTTTTTAATGGAAAATCTACATAACAAAACATATATACTGTCTCAACAATTTCTCCATGTACAATTCAGAAACATTGAGTACATTCTCCCTATCCTTTTCCAGATTCTTTAATATAACCATTAATGTAAGCTTAATGCCCACAGGGAGCACTGGTGGCCTAGTGGTAAGGAATTGCACTGTCATCCCAAAGACAGCAGTTCGAATCCATCAGTTGCTCCACAGGAGAAACATGGGCATTTGACTCCTATGAGATTTACTGCCTCTGGAAACACACTGGAGGGTCAGCTGTGGGTCAGTCCAGACTCAACAGCACATACAACAACAGTGCCCTCTAAGCATACATACCCTCTTTCTCCTCACCCCCTTCTGGTAATCACTAATCATCTTTGTTGCTTTGTATTTGCTTCTTTCATAAAGGTGAGATTTTACAGTCTTTGTCCTTTTATGACTTCCTTACTTGCTCAGCCTGCTCTTTTCAAGGTTCACCCACGTTGTGGCATTCATCAGGAAGTCATTTCTCTTTATGGCTGAGTAGTATTGATGAGGCTTTGCCTCACATACTTTGGGCATGTTGCTAGAAGGTACTATTCCTTGGAGAAGGACATGATTCTGGGAAGGATGAAGAATTGGCTAAGAAGAGCAAGACCCTCAACCAGGTGGACTGGTGTGGTGACTGCCTCAATGAGCTCTTGTGTGTCAGGAAGTATGAGAATGTCACAGTATAGAACAGAGTTCAGAACTTGTGTTCATAGAGTTGCTATGAGTCATACTTGACTCAGTGGCACCTAACAAGAAGTATTCCGTTGTCATTGTATGCATATACCACATTTTATGTAGCCATTCATGTGTTGGTGGACATTTTTGGGTTTTTTTCACTTTGGCTGTTGTGAGAAGTGCCATAAGGGGCATTGATGCATGGGCTTCCGTTTGTATTCCTTATTTCATTTCTTCTAGGATTGGTATTGCTGGGTCATATAGTAGTTTTATATACAATCTTTTAAGAAACTACAAAATTGTTTCCCACAATGACTATAGTGTAGAAGTTTATGAATGAGCATGAATTTTCATTTCTCTTAGATATGGGCCTGCGAGCAGAATTGCTAGGTTATACAGTAACTCTTCATTTCACTTTTAGAACAACTGGCATCTGTCAAATGGTTTTCAAAACTGGTCACACCAGTTAACAGCACCATCAAGCATATGAGGGTTCCAATTTTACCATGTCCAGGTCCTTGCAATCTGCTTTTATTATAGCCATTTTAGTAGGTGAAAGACAATTTTATTGTGCTTTTATTTTGTATTGTCATTGTAATGAGGGTGTTCTGGTGGTATAGTCTGTAGGGAGTTGTACTGCAAACCTAAAGGCAGCACCACTAGCAGCTCCAGAAGGAGAGCTGGGCCAGCTCCTTGCATGGATTTACAGCCTCCAGAGGGGAGAGGTGGGCCAGCTCCTCGCACGTGGTTCAGAGCTAGTAATTTCTAACTTTACTGCAGTGAAGTGAGAGTGAGTAACTAATGACAGCAAGTGCCTTTTCATGTGATTATTGGCCATTTGTGTATCTTTGGAGAAATGTCTGTTTAAGTCCTTTGCCCTTCATAAATGGCCTTTTTGCTATTGAAAGATAAGAATTCTTTATATACACTATCTACTAGATGATTATTTTCAAATATTTTCTCTATTGTGTTGGCTTTTAAAATTCTTAGTATTAGCCTTTTATGTACACTAGTGTGATTTTTACACTAATTTGTAAAAATTGTAGTGAAGTTCAGTTTATCAGCCTTTCATTTGATTGCTTTTGGTTTGGCTTCATGTTTTTAAAAGCTTCCTACTCCATTGTCAGAAGGATATATACTTAAGAGTGTCTTCTCAAAATTTTAGAGTTTTAGCTCTTATGTTCAGTGCAAATAGTTAAGCAGGTGACTGCTAGGTTTGAACATACCTAGAGGCACTTGAGAAGACATGCTTGATGATCTACTTTCAAAAGGGCCTTGAAAACCCTAAATGCTCCTCTGACAGCATGGCATATCCTTGAGAATTTACTTGACAGCAACTGACATCAATAGGAACTCATATTTATGGTTTTGTCCCATTTTTTTTCCATTTGTCACAATTCAGTGGTCCTCACTGAATTGCTTTGGCCTCTTTATTGAAAATTTTTTTTTTACATTTTTTATTATTTTGTGTGCGTGTACCGTCAAATCAGATCTGACTGGTACAGGAGGATATTGCGCCTCCTTCTCCAGCAGAGCGTCTGGTGGATTTAAACCGTGTTCCTCTGGGATTGCAGTGCAGCATCTTGCTCTTTATTGAAAATTAATTGGACTTAAATGTCTGGATTAACCATAAATGAGAGTCAAATATAGTTTAGAATGCAGATCATCAGTCACACTAGCCACATTTCAAGTACTCCATTATTGCATACAGCTAGACTTCTTCTTTTTAAATAGCTTGCACACGCACACACACACATTTTCCAGTTGCAAGAAACCTGACCTGGACAGTGCTGTTGTTGATCTCCCACTTGCTGACCCTCAGTCCTAGAAGTCAGAGGTGGCGGAGTTTCTGTAATTAAAATATGCTTCTGGCCCCTATTCTGGCTTCTAAATATGTAAGTTGTCAAGAAAAGATGGTTGTTAATTAGTGTCTATGTAAGGGATGGGTATTTGTTGAAATAACAAATAGATGATATGATCCAAAAGCCTGGATTGTTTAATAAATACCTCTCTGAGACTAATGTAAATGACCAATAGAAAACCACATTTTAAGAAACCTTGCAGTATATTTCATAACTCTTTTGCTGAATTTCTTTCTTCAAAGTCCAGAAAATAGAATATATTCTTTCTAATTACAGAGGCTACTAGAATAAGGAGTGACAACAAGGAAAATCCACAACAGGAAGGGACTAAAGGAGCAAGGCCTTGTGCTGTCTCAGCTGACAGATCCAAAGGGAATGGTTTGCAGAGTCCTGAATCTAGAGGGGTGAATGTGAGTGAACCCAGGCTGTCACCAAGACAGGTCAGCCCCCCAAATGCTCAAAAGCCATTCACTCACCACCAGAGACCATGCAGACAATTGGAATACATTAGCAGCCCCCTAAAAAGCCACCTGCTGAGGGAAGTAAAGAAAAGCAATCATTTGGAACATCTTGGTCACTCGAAGAAATCTTACAAATGTGATCATTGTGGGAAAAGCTTCTCATTTAATTCAGAGTTGGAAAGACACAAGAGAGTGCACACGGGGGAAAGACCCTACACATGTGAAGTATGTGGAAACCGCTTTGGACGGCAGTCAACTCTGCAGCTGCATCAGAGGATCCACACTGGAGAGAAGCCCTTCCACTGTGACCTGTGTGGGAAAAGCTTTCGCCAAAAATCCAACCTTCACAAGCATCAGAGGCTCCACCATGGGGTATAAAAAGGAGCCACATTCTTTACATTCAAAAGGGAGGTATGTGTATTTCTTCTTCCCCTTACTTGCATGTAAATCACCAAGACTGTGTGACTTACACAGAAAGGAAGATGTCCCTGAGGAAGTAATGGTGCGCATTTGGCTGATGTGAAGAGCCCTGGAAAAGGCAGACCAAGGACTTGCCTGTTCCATGGTGTCAAGGGCAAAGAAATGGCAGGTGGGAACATTATGTTGAGGAGAACCACAGTCACTATTGTAGAGCAGGGAGTATACACAGAGGGAGAGACAGGATGGTATTGTCACTTTATTATGAAATGTTCTCCCTTTTGGTTTATTCTCTACAGTAGTTTAAGGATAAATTCTACAAAAAGTGTGCGGTTGCTGTCAGACTAGACAATCTTTGTCATGTTCACACTTCTTTAATAAGGATGAGTGATCCACCAGCATTTCAAGGCAAAAATTGACTAGAGTATAAATCTCTTGATGTTCTATCTGTAATTACTAGCTGCTTATAGCAAAAGATTGCATTAAATGATAGTGTGTCATATATTTGTTTCCAAATTTTTAAAAAATTATGCACACATGATAATTTTTATACCATAGCATCTTTGATTTATAAAAAGATCACTTTCCACAGGGAAGAAACATAGATTTCAATTTTTCTTATTTATTAAAAAGGAACTTTTCCTGAGTTTTGCTTTCACAGTGTGTTTTGAAGTTACTGAAAAAGAATAAACACTCTAGTAGTTTTCTTTTTATTACAGAATCAGTGTGCTCATTGGTGAATATTAATGTCATTTGGATGCTTGTTGAACTGAAAAATGTGACAGAATCACCACTCCAAACATCACTCCTTTCCAAAAGTTTTTGAGTGTGTGATCCTGCCTCTGCTCCCCCAGCACTAGGTTAACCATGGCCGATAGAGGGCTCAGCTCCAGATAGGCAAGGTCAGTGAGAAGTCAGCTTGTGGGCATTCACTCATATTTGCAAGTCTGTACTCAGGTTCTTCAGATATTCCCTTTGCCAATGTGGGCTTCATCCGAGGGCCTCAGCCTGGAAGTTGACCTGATTTATAGTTAGCTACCGTATTGAACAAACCATTCTCAGAAAAGAATTTTTCTTTTGTGTACAGCCCTTAACCATGGCAGTTCTGTGATCTTCTCTAGACTTTTCCTGGCACTCACCCTTGTGGGGATAAGAATGATTCCTGAAGTGGGGAGGAGAGCAAAAGCATCAGTGGATAGGGAAGGCCATGTGGTCCTACAGATGGCTCTGAAAGTATTTTCAGTCTATAATGGAAAAGGACTTTGTGCATCTATCCCTTAACATCACTTGTTGACAATAAGCTTGACAGGAATGCCTCCATATCATTCAATAAACTTTATTTAAAATTTTTTCAATTGTTTGTTTAAAAAACAACACATCACCTACTATTTTTGGTAGCTTTATTAAAGTCTATCTCACATAGAAAATGTAACTAATTAAGATGTATATCTAGTTCAGTAGTGTTAGTATATTCACAGCCCATTAAAAAAACCCTCATAACCATGAGCAGTCACTCCATATTCCCAACCATCCTCAACACTCTCCTTTGTTTTTTTTCTTCGGTGTTTTCAAAGTTTCATTGTGTTGTAGCCTGTATAGATTTTTCTTTCTATTGCCATTAAATAGCATCCCATTGTATAAATGTGACAGAATCATCACTTGTATGGTTAGGCCACATTTTGTTTATCTGTTCCTCAGCTGAAGAGTTGTTTCTACCATTTGGCTATTATGAATAATGCTGCTATATAAATATTGTTGTGTAATTTTGTGTGGATGTGAGTTTTCATTTCACTTGGGTTTATGCCAAGAGGTAGAATTGCTGAATCATATGGGCAGTCTCTTCCTGTGCAATTAACTGCAGCTGAAAACCCACTGGAGGCTCACCTGTGAATCACTTCTGACTCAATGGCACACAACAACAGCAACAACCAGACTACTACCCTAGGGGGTAAGGAGTTGTGCCGCCACCTCCAAGGCAGGTGGCTTGAATCTTCCAGCTGCTCCACAGTAGAAAGATGGGCAGTCTCCTCCTATGCAGTTTACAGCCTCTGAAAACTCACTGGAGGGTCAGCTATACATTGGACAACTCCATAGTGAGGATTTTCTTTCTTTTTTCTTTTAATCAGAATGTTTTCTGAATTCGCTACATCATTTTGGATTTCCACCAGCAGGATATGAGGGTTCTAATTTCTCCACATCCTCAATACCATGTAGTATTTTTCTAGTCTTTTGATAATGGCATTTCACTGCAGCTTTTGTATTTCCTAAAGCCAGGATGCATACAATTAGTTCCATCCCAAATGACTCTTCACCCTGGTATGAGTCACTGAGATGAGCTACAGGAGCCCTCAGACAGACAGACTTAGCTCAGCTTTTCCACTTTGATTGTATACTCTGCCCATCACCTTTCCTCAACCCCACACATATCTTCTCATATGCTCACTTCTCTGAAATAATGTGAGGTTACTCTTCCTTTGCCTAGAGTTAGGTTCTTTGGAAGAAAACCATGCCTAAACCAGGACATACATCTGCCCATTTCTCTTTCAAGTTACTGACATATCTGACAAACTAAAATAATGTCATTGTGGCTGTAGGAGAGAGATAGGGAGTAAGAACCAACAAAAAGAAAAACAGAGAAGCTGGAGTTGAAGGTGGCAATGTAGAGCTAAGAGGCAAAAAACAAACCAACAAAACCCACCCCCAATAAATGACCAGACTTACCTTACTGGCTGGATGGAGACAGTAGAAGAACAACTGACACTATGGCTGTTAGGGGAAGCTGAAATTGAAGGTAGCAACGTAGAGCCAAGAGGAAAAAAAAAAAAAAAGACCAGGTTTACTGGCCAGATGGAGACAGCAGAACGTCTGACACTATGGCTGTTAGTCCTTCTTTGAACCTGAACCCCTTTATTCAATGTTCAGAAAAACAATAAGCCTATAAGGTAAAGACTTAACACAGAGAGGAATAAGTAATAATGTCAAAAGGGCAGCATTTGCCCTGAGGGAAAGCTCAGAAGGATAGAGTAGGATGGGAGGCTGAAGGTAAACTAGACTTGAGAAGTGGGAAGGGTGTGACTATATTGTCTGGTGCCATCAAGTCAACAAATAGTGACCCTATGAAAAACAGTTAAGAACCTGTCCTATCTTGTGCCATCCTCACACCACCTGATGCAATCCACCTGGTTAAGGGTCTTCCACTCCTTCGCCAACTCTACATTTCTGAGCATCGTGTTCCTCTTGCAGGAATAGCCCCTCCTAGCAACATGCCGGAAGTATGTGAGGCCTTATCTGGCTGCACTCTCTCTAAGACATACTTGTTCCTTTGGCTGTCCATGGTGCTCTTCTCCAATACCACAAGCATCAGTTCTTCTGTTATCCTTATTCATTGTCCCGCTTTCAGATGCACAGCAAGTGATAAGAAAGACCATGGCCTGAATCAGACACACTTTAGTCCTCAAATCTCATATTGGGTTCTGTAATTAATGGAATAAAACAAATGTGTACAAATGGTAAAATGGAAAATAAATTTGCAAACTTTGATTCAAATCACAACTTTTAAAAACCTATACATAAAAGTGCAAAATGGCATGAGGTCAGTTTTTGGTAAGATATCTAGCTGAAGGTAGGGGCAACAGTAGAATCTTGGTGGCACATAGTTAAAGCACTTGGTTGCTAACCCAAAAGTGGTCAGTTTGAACCTACCAGCTGCTCTCAGGGCAAAGGCGTGGCACAAGGCTTCTGTAGAGATGGCAACCTCAGAAATCCTGAGGCAGTTCTACACATCACATCAGGTCTCTAAGGTGGAACTAACTCTAGGGTTTGGAGTGCAAAGGAGAGGAGACATCTGTGCTGGAGTTAGCTTGAGGGCTTTGCATCTATGAGAGCAGCTAAAGTGGCTCCAGGAACCCACCTGAAGTACCAGAGCACCCTAGACTTTGACTACAGGGCACACTGAAAGCATGGCGGTTGCCTTTAGAGAGAAAATCCTCTGCCCAGGACTGAGAAGCATAAACTATCCCAGTCTAATACATACATGCACACCAAGTGGACTGCAACTCCACAATGACAAACTAGGGGCAGGATTCATAAGGAAGTCAGTGCAAAGAGTGGCCAGATGGAGATCAGCAATGCTGACCAGCTACTGCACCCGCAATACTCTCCCACTAGTGCAAGACTGTGAAGAAAAATGCAGCCATGAGGATCAGAGGAAGACTCATCAATAACCTGTTATGCAAATGACAACCTTGATTGCTCAAAGTGAAGCTCTTGAGACAGAAGATCAAAGCTACAACCTTCAATATGGATTACATCACAACATAAAACAAAAGTCCTCACACTGTTGCTGTGTGTTGTCGAGTCAACCGCTAAACATTAAAAAGATGGAGAGAAAAGTGTCAACAACTTCATCTTACCTGTATACACAAACACCCTTCATACAGCGGTCAGGAGAAATATTGCATTGGGAAAGTATGCTGTTAGGAACATCTCCAAATGACGGAGGAGCAATGATAACGGTTTGAAGACTTTGGTACACCTGATTAAGGTCATGGTCTTTTCACTCATTTGCTACATCTGAGAGCTAGACAGTAAATAAGGGTGACAGAACAAGAAATTATGCCTCCGAACTGTGGTGTTGGAGAAGAGTATTAAATATCTCTTAGATGGCCAAAAGAACAACAGGTTTATCTTGGACAAGGTGCAGCCAGAATACTCCATGGAGGCAGATATGACAGTTTCATCTCATATACTTTGTTCATGTTCCTTTGGAAAGGACAGCGAATGAGAGACAGGCTCTTGTCGAGATGGATTGGCCATGACATCAGCAATGGACTCAAGTGTGTCAGAGATGATACAAGATAGTACAGCGTTCTGATCTGTTGTTCATGGAGTCGCTGTATGTCGTGATCCTCTCCTCTCCCGATGACTGCAAAATGCAGGACGGACTTGCCAAATAAGGACTT